CTCTAGAACCCACTTTTCCAAGGTAATTAGCCGCCCTGATGGAAAGAAAGGGACTAGACAGTCGCCAAACTGATGGGATGTCAGAGATTGCTGTTGTGATTGGAACAGGGGAAGGCTTCTCAGGGCCTCAACCACACCTGCAAAATAGTTGTTTGGTTGAAGGTGTGTGAAAGGTAGCTCCCTTGAGGAGTCGTATGTCTGTGCTTGGTAGGGGGCTCTTGTCAACAGTGTTGAGTATCATAGCATCGCTAGGGAGTGTATTGCGGTGGTCGGGATCATGAGGGAAGTTGGTATTTCCCTGGGTGCCTCTTCAGTGCTGGTGTGTAAATGCAGAGAGAGATTGGAGAGTTGCTCGAGAGTCCTTAAGGGAGCATAGGGACTCATCCGTATGCTCCATAAATAATTGCGGTACCTCAAAGGGTAGGTCCTTGACAGTGGTTTGTGCCTCCTTAGGAAGTTCGGAGAGGTGCAGCAATTATGCCTGTGTCTCATGACTGTGGCAGTCACAATGGAATAGGCAGCGGTATCCACGGAGTCCAAAGAGGCTTGTAAAATCGTATGGGCCAAGAGGTGTCCTTTGGATCTAAGCAACCAAAGTTACTTTTTTTTGGCGCCAGGAAGGTCTTAGCAGAGTTCCTGCATTTTAGAATATTTGAGACAATTGTACTTGGCCAGGACAGCCTCGTAATTGGATATTCAGAACTGGAGCATAGCAGATGAATAAGCCTAAGGGACCAAATAGATCCAATAGCTTCGACTTGGTCACGAAGGGTGGATCAAGGTTGGTACTGGCGTCCTTTTTCATGCACAGCATTGACAACTAGGGAATTTGAGGTGGGGTGAGAAAAAAGAAATTCCATGTCTTTTGTGGCATTATATTTTTTGTCTGCCATTTGCAGGTCAGTGGGATTGATGCTGGTGTCTGCCAGAGCACCTTGGTGGGACTGAGAATGGCCTCATTGACAGAGAGGGATATTTTGGATGAGGATGAGGATTTGTGCAGTTTATGTTGTTGATCTTTCACTTTCTTCCACCAAAGGAATCTGGAGAGAATCTGCAATCCAGCGAAACAACTCTTGGAAGTGTCTAAAGTCGTCAACTGCAGTAGGGAGGCATGATCTTTTCTTCCCATGATGTGGCTAAGCGGAGTGGCGGTGGAACTTCCTTCTCCTTTTCTTCCTCCTCATCAGCTATGGGGAGAGGCTTAACCTCTGGTGGTTGAGAGACCAATGGAGATGGCAAACGTGTAGGTCTTTGGCTTTGTTCTATTGGACGTTTCCCAAACTGTGCTCTGTACGTGGCCCAAGGATTCCAGAATGGCCAATGTGGAGGGAGCGGCACATGGGTTTGCATCTGTGGAGGTCCATACCAGGGTCCTGGTCCAGTTGTGGATTGTGAAGACGTGTAGAGGACGCCTTTTGCGCCTGTCCAGAGTATGAGGGTGGGGATGGAGTACTCCTCCTTCTCTTCCTCTTCTGTGTCGCTGGGAAAGGGCAGTGCTTGAAGGAAAAAGGGAATAATGGTGTAATTCCAGAGAGGAGAACGGAAGTGGAGGGAGGTCGTGTCTGAGTAGTGGTGACTCAGCCATATCAGATACAAGTAGGTCCTTAGGATATCTGAACTCTTGGGGAGGAGCATCATCGGCACTGGCGCATGTATTGGTACTGAGGAAGGGGTGCATTCCCTTGAGCAGCCAGCAGATGGAATTGAAGACTTGCTCAGTGCTGATGGTTTGCTCGGTGCTGAAATGGTCATCAGCACTGGCAATATTGTTAGTGCCATAGTACGCGAAGTTGGCCTGGTCAGGGCAATTGGCTGAGTTTTGGACTGATCTTTGTTCAAGAGGATGAAAGTTGTTATAACCATGCTAGTGGGTTAACAGAAAACAAGAACAGATACATTTAAGACTAATTCCATCAGGGTTTCAGAGTGCAGACCATCATGCACAAAACAAAACATTCTAGAAGGTCTTCTGTCTTGATCTCCAGTGCTGAGACATGGTGCCAAAGGTTGTAGGTCTGCCCGATTAGGATCTTTAGACCTTTACTTAGCTCCAGTAACGGAGGTACTTGGATAGTCCCTTGAGCTATGTCCCCGGCCAAGGATGTCGAGGCAACTGACCTCACAGGGGATGGTGTTCTGGTGGACAGAGCCTCAGAGGGTGATGAGGGAGCCCGTTTCTTCCCATCAGCCCAGGAAAGAGAAGATTTTCTTTTAGAGGGATGTGGCGAATGAGGGTCGATGGACAACCTAGCAGAGCATGAGAGTTGCATGGGGAAGGTGTGCGGGCTAGGGTCCAATGATAGATGCAGTGATTTCTCCATGAGGAGAAGTTGTAACCAAATGTCCCATTTTTTTCTGGCTCTCCCAGTCAGGTTACAGTAATGAGTACACTTTTGCGGGACATGTCCCTCTCCCAGACAGAGAATGCACTGTGGGTGACTCAGTTACAGGGAAGGCATCCTGGCAGGAAATGCACCTCTTAAACCCAGGAGATCTGGATATAAGGGTGAGGGGAAAAGCTTCCTGGTTGAGAAGGGCAGGAAGCGGGAAAACAAAGACCTAAGCTATGAACTAACGGGGAGGGCAAGATAGAAAAGCTTTTTTTTTTTTAAGTGAGAGGATGAGAAAGGAAGAAGTAACGACTAAACTACACTAAAAAGTAACAGCTAAGGCACTATCTAACAGGTCAAAAGGAGAAGGGGCTCTGCTGCAGATTTCATCCCAGACCAAAGGGGGTAGAGATGGAATGCGGGGTGGTTGGACCACACAACACTATATATACACATCCTGCTCATGGTGGGAGACGGGAAGGTGCGCATGTGTGGTCCGATGGGCACTGCTGATGAAGATCTCCGATCTCAGCTGCAGGGGGGGTGCTGCTGCACCTACAGTGGAGCACCATAGGGCATCACTCAAAGAAGAACCATCAACTGAAGCCCCTTTTGGGGAATGAGGAGTACAATACCTTTCAAATAAGTTTTCATGTGAAGTTTCTGGGACAAGCAGTTTTTGGAGCTAAGATGGTCAAAAAGCTTAAGTAGTGTTGGAAGAAATTTCCAAACATAAAACTAAATTCCATCTCTCAAAAGCAGCTGATGCAAATCTTTGCAAGTATGGTAAAGTAATAGTAAAAAATCCAATGGGGATATGGGCAAAGTCTGTGGCTGAAAGAGACCATTCTTGAGAATGTTAGAGGTGTCACATGGCCCAAACAAGCATAAATGGGAAAGCTAGTTCCACCCTTAATTATGGAGTTCACCTTATAAACACCTTAAAAAGGTATATTCTGTTATTAACCCTTGAATAAAGGGCAATTCTTAAGTGATCCAGAACTGTTACCACTACATTGTCCTACCAGGTCCTTCTAATTAGGCACTATTTGCCCATAATATACACACACGTGTTAAACAGAATGTGAACAGTCTGTGAAAATGGGAGAACGGTATCCCATTTCCAAATAAAATTAGAGTCATGTGGTATATTCTCCTCAGATATATTATATACATACAATACGCCAAGTATGGATTACATATTTACCCCCTTTTTACTGTAAGCACAGAAGAGTCTCAGTAGGTATAAAATTAATTATCTTGATTTGGCTGAGTTTTGGACTGATCTTTGTTCAAGAGGATGAAAGTTGTTATAAACATGCTAGTGGGTTATTAGAAAACAAGAACAGAAACATTTAAGACTAATTCCATCAGGGTTTCAGTGTGCAGACCATCATGCACAAAACAATGACTTGTTTTCATTTCAATATAAGTTTACCAATGAACAGACTTGATTTTTGTAAACACAACTTTTTTAAACACTGATGCTCAAGTGTACTTGATGTGGCTCTTTAATTTACAGACATTAGAAGTAATTTGAAATAGAAAAGAATTCTAAGTAAGCTGTTGCAATATTAAAATGCTAGATGAGATTGTGTTAATGAGCCACAAATGCAAACTCATACAAAACCTTTGAGAATACAGCTGTGTGGCCTACATTCCCCTCACTCTTTATTCTATTAAAACTGTATACATTGAGGAATGACAAGTGAACATGTTACCATGGTGATCAGAGTAGCCTTATGAAAGTTACAACATCATTTACTATGTAGAAAGGATTCCCTAAAAGACCTTATTAAGCAAGAAGAAACAATGTTTTTTTAAAGTTTTCAGAAAACAATTTTTGTTCCACTTATAATAATGTATCTGATATATATAGGGCCTTTCGTTTTCAGTTATTTTATTTAATTTTTCCCAGGAATTTATCAGTGTTTATTACCACAACAACAAAAACAGGTGAAAATCAGTGCAAAAAAATCCAGCTCCTAATGATGTCAATAACAAAACTTCTACTGACTTCAATGGGAACAGGATTTGGTTGAAGCCTTACGCTTTCACACACAGAGAATATTCTATGCAATGAACCAGCGTGTCAAGACAGCACAGAACATCTAAACCTATAGAAGTCTTCTGGCACATTCTTCAAAGCACTGTGACAGACATCTGCATTTACCATTCCCAATGCCTTGACATTTTGTTCTGGTGGGATTGTATAGATAGGATCAGATATTGAAAAATAAGCAATACGGCAGTGATTATTTCAGTGTGGGTGCACGGACTGTAAATGTAAACATTGAATTAAGGTGAAAGCTATACCACTCATGCTCAGTACATCATCCTTATCTTCTTCTAAATGCATCTATTTTAAACAAAGTATTTATATTTCACACATTCCTCACTGAGGACTTACACCAGGGCAGGTTTGAGGCTTTAAAGTCTATGTTGCAATCAGCAGCAAGTATTGGCTAACGGCCTACTTTACTTCTGTTCAAAAGCAGCAGCATAACATGCTCCATAGCACAGCCGAACTGAAAGAATGAACAAGAATTTACTCAAAGCTTCCTACAAGTTTAGATCATTACAATTTTAGAATGGGAGGCAAATGGCTTTTTGTATTTCTATAAGCCTTCTTGGTGCAGAGTTAAGCTAAAGGAAAAAAGCAAGCCCTAGATTGTGCACTCCTTTATTTTCTTCAGCAAAGGAAATTTCAGACTCACAATGTTGCTTAATTCCACCAAGTTTTAAAGTAAAATTTGCTACAGTGTTCACTAAACATCCACATTTATAAATACCATTTACTGTACAGGATTGACCGTTCCAAGCAGCATTACAGCAGTAACTGGCGTTCTGCTTCAAGAGAGGTCATTCTGCTTTTGTTAGATATAAATTTGTCAAGGCAAATGAAAATAAATTACTCACCTTTTTAAGAAAATGAAAGTTAAAAATAGGTTCAAGAATATGTATGACTGATTTTGGTCTCAGAAGAATCTATGACTTGCAAAGAGATCTACCATTTAATATTATATTTGGTTCTTTCATTAAAAACCAAAACAATCTTTATTGATAACTGAAATTATTAAACTTATGCGTTGGCAGGAAAGTGAGGCTACCCTAAAACTGCATGTAAACCACTTATTTACCATAAAAAGGTATTGTGCTTCTAAAAATATTGTAACTGTGGGTTTAATTGTTGATAACTCAGGGAAAATCTAATGCTAAAAGCATGCACCATCAGTAATGGATTTTCACAAAGGACATTTTTAATTACAAACTGACTCAAAGGATAGTACAAAAGAATTTCTTCTCCCTGAAGGGATTTTCAGATGCAGGCACTGGTATAATAAGGGGATCTTCTCCAATATGAGCATCACAGTACGCCAATAAATCAGCTGCAGCCTTGGATACCTAATAGGAGAAAAGAAAGTGATAACCATTATTAAACTTGTGATATTGAAATAGTCAGCATTGTTTAAACATTCCCATTTAGCCTAAAAATATCAGAAGTTCCCCTTATTAAAGCAGCAGATGATCAGCGTATCCACTTTTCAAGGTATTAGACCAAAAGGCTGAACCTGCTCTTACAAGGGCAGATCTTTCTTTCACATGGTTTTTCAACATAGGGGATAGGAAACAGTCTTGATTCATGGAGTTTCTTCCTAACTGTTCCCTCAGGAACAAACAGTGAGTTTAATACCCTTTGTGAAGTCACCAATTAATGTGATAAATACAGCATTTATTATAATCTGAATCTTAGAGTAAATTGTCTTAACATTTATTTGTATTTATTTTTTCATATTCATGGCATAAATCTAAATCTTCCAAAATACACGGGTAAAAAGTTTTACTTTTTTCTGTCCTTATGGAAAAGTTCCATAGAAATTTAACAGAAAATTAAAACCTTTCTTATAGGGGTTTTTGAACTATACTATACAATTTAATAGCTACCTACCTCTCTGTTATACAATTTTGTGAACACTAACCTTCCTATGTGTTTTAGTTACTCTATTGGAATGTATAGGCTGTAGAGTGATTTCTATAGAACCCTATTGGTTTCATACCTATCAAATTCTATAATTTTTCCATACAGATGTACCAATCTCCTTGATTTAGTGCCACACAAAACACATACTGATTTGTGTGCTGGGGTCAATTGCAATATATTGATTTCCATTTCATGCAAAAATGTTCCATCACTAGCTGAAACCCTGCAACATTACTCTGTTACGCCTCAACAGGTTTCTTTACCAGGGGACTTTACTGGGAGCTAAAGATGCCCAGGGCCTTGAAGAATGAGGCTCAATATGAGCATTAATTGTTAGCCTTCGGGATGCATTGTCAGTCCCACTTATTTTCCTCAGGCCTTTGTGATAGGGCTGTGGCACCTAGTCATGCTGTGTCACAAAGTATGTGGAGTATTTTTGTATCATTTGACTGGCTGGCTGACTATTTCTGTTACGTGAGTCGAGCCATTTACATTTTTCTTTTTGTTTTTTAAAAGATTATTGTATCTTAAGTATTGGGACAGTGCCCAGAGCTTAGGATAGATGCTCCTTTTATCAGTCAAGCTATATTAAAATAATGGTGTACAAATAAAGGACAATGATGTACCAAATTCTCCCTTCAATTACAGACTGAACTCACTATCATTGTACCACTATAAACAAGAGGAGAATTTGAGCCTAATTTCTAATGTTTTCTAAAGAATTTGTAATCAGCCTCAAAACTCTAGCCTGCTCGTGCACAACTTCCTTTGGATAAGGCCCATAACATTAATGGAAACCTTTCCACTGACTTCAGTAAGCTTTTAATCATGCTCCATATCAAGGAACAATTTATTCCATACAATTTTGTACTAACTAAAACATGGTGATCTGTTAGAAAACTTAAAACCGGCCAAATATTTATGATTGGAATCCCATTACAGACTCCACTCCTTAGCTGAGGAAATCAAAATGTTAAAGTCACGGATAACTAGTTTGTAGCAAGTGAACCATGCTGAGAGAGAGAGAGAGGGCTGGGCAGAGGCGTTACCCATGAACAACGAATCACTGGGGCAATACATAGCTAGGAAAAACAGTATTACATAGGGCAGGAAAATAGTTCAGTTGAGCAAAACTTGAGGGGAAAGAGGTCTGCAGAAAGGAACAGTACTTTAGAAAAAGAAACAGGTCAGACAACAGGAAAATAAAATGGGTAAGTGGACCCTAGCTTCAAAGGTAGAAAGCAAAAGAGGTGAAAGGAGACTGTTTCCCCATTATTTTCAGACTCCCTCAAATATCTACTAGGTGAGATGTGGCAAAAGAAAAGATGATTTTTCACTTTCTTCTGGAGGTGGACAGGGGCCAGACAGGTGTGAATTGTAATAACCAAAGAGAACTGCAGAATCTTTTCAGCAAATCCTGACAGGATTTTCATTTAAATTCACTGGAGAATTTAAAGAGACTCTACAACAGGGGTGGGCAAACTTTTTGGTCTGAGGGCCACATCTAGGTGGGGAAATTGTATGCAGGGCTGGGACAGGGGGTTGGGGTGTGGGGGGGAGTACGGGGTGTGGGAGGGGTTGCGGTGTGCAGGAACGGGCTCAGGGCAAGCGATTGGGACAGAGGAGGGGTGCGGGGTGTATGAGGGGGCTCAGGGAAGGGGGTTGGGGTGCAGGAGGGGTGCGAACTGCAGGAGGGAGCTCAGGGCAGGGGGTTGGAGTGCAGGAGGGATGCGGGGTGCGAAGGGGCTCAGGGCAGGGAGTTGGGGTGCATGGGGGTGCAGGGTGCAGCAGGGGGCTCAGGAAAGGGAGTTGGGGTGCAGGAGGGGTGTGAGGTGCAGGCAGGGAGCTTAGGGCTGGGAATTGGGGGGCGGAGTGCAGGAGGGGTTCGGGCTCCGGCCCGGCGCTGCTTACCTAAAGTGTCTCTGGGTTGGCAGCGGTGCACACCAGGGCCAGGGCAGGTTCCCTGCCTGCCTGCCCTGGCCCCACCCTGCGCTGCTCCGGGAAGTGGCAGGCACCACGTCCCTGCGTGGCTCCTGGGGGAGGGAGGGACACAGGGCTCTGTGCGCTGCCCTTGCCACGCCTCCAGGTACCCCCCCCCCCCAAAGCTCCCATTGGCCACAGTTCCCTGTTCCCGGCCAATGAGAGCTGTGGGGGGTGGTGGCTGGAGGCAAGGGCAACGCATAAGGCATTCCAACTTCTAGAATGCTGATGGGTTAGAATGTTGATTGGTTACAAGTTCTTTATATGGGCATGATGTCTGAGAGCACAGTGATATGCAGGGTCACAGCAATTCAATATGATGAAACCTATTACTGAGTCCATCCCTAGGCTAAGGCATGATATAGCCCCCACACCTAACTTATAAACCAATTTACAAATAGGAAAATGGAACACTTCCAGAAATAGAGAGTTGGCATACCTTTCAACAACATATTAAAACAACACTTCAGATTTACTAACGTCAGAACAAGAATCACAAGTAAGTTGTAGACTCACTACAGTATGATCCAACTACCCACTTACAACAAGCCATGAAGCAGCACAGGCCAACATTTCAGCTCAATGATTGTCACAAGCTAAAACCTCCACCTTCTTCCCCATATCAAGCCCAAGAACTTTTGTATGGGGGAACCCCCCCGCACCTCAGGCATACACTGCATTAAGGCTGTTGGAGTGGCTCCCTGGCAGCTGTAGAGCTACAGCGACTGACTATTACAACAACAGCAAAAAAGTTAGTGATCATACTCCAATAGCACTAAGTCACATCAGGGTGAACTTTTATAGGTTACGGACATATTTCTGTCAGCACCCAAGAGGTGTGCTGCAACTGCCTACTAATGCATACCCTGCTGTGCCTTATTTCTATATGGAATGTACTGTGTCATTATCACATTTGAAATACAGGAAATGTTAAACAAAGGACATGATTTTAAACTTTAGTAACAGTTGCTCACCTTAAAATATTCAAGCTGAATGCTGCTTGGCAGTTTCTGTTCAATGTTGCATGACTCAGGACTACTTTTATCAACATCAAAAAAATCAAACCTAACATGACTTGCATCACATCCTTCCCTATTTCCCCAGTAAAAAAAACGGTTACTCACTTTCTCGTAACTGTTGTTTTTCAAGATGCGTTGTTCATGTCCATTCGAAGCAGGTGTGTGCGTGCCATGTGCACGCCAGCCGGAAGATATTTCCCCTAGCAGCGTCCATAGGGTTGGCCGGGGCGCCCCCTGGGGTGGCGCCTTCATGGCGCCCAATATCGAATCCTGCCAACCTCCCCACCCCCTCAGTTCCTTCTTGACAACCATTCCGACAGAGGGGTAGGTGGGTGGGTATTGGAATGGACATGAACAACACATCTCGAAGAACAACAGTTATGAGAAAGTGAGTAACCATTTTTTCTTCTTCGAGTGATTGTTCATGTCCATTCCAAGCAGGTGATTCACAAGCTAGAGATCAGGAGATGGGGTCGGAGTTATCCACTGAAAAGAGCACAGCTCTCCCAAAAGCCGCATCGTCCCTGGACTGTTGTGTAATTGCATAGTATGACGTAAATGTATGTATCGAGGACCACGTGGCTACCCTGCAGATTTTCTGAATAGGGACTTGTGCCAGGAACGCCACAGAGGAGGCCTGGGCCCTGGTAGAGTGAGCGGTTATCTGCGGAGCGGGCTACTTTGCCAGGGTATAGCACTCCCTAATGCAGGACATTATCCATGACGATATGCGCTGAGATGATACCGGAAGGCCCGTCATTCTGTCTGCCACGGCTCTGAAGAGTTGGACGGATTTCCGGAATGACTTAGCTCTCTCTATGTAGAAGGCTAAGGCCCTATGCACGTCCAGTGAGTGCAGCCTGCGCTCCCTATCGGAGGAGTATGGCTTGGGATAAAACACTGGGAGGAAGATGTCCTTGGTCATGTAAAAATGGGAGACAACCTTTGGGAGAAAAGCCGGATGAGGCCTAAGCTGAACCTTATCCTTATGAAAAACTGTGTAAGGGGGCTCAGACGTGAGGGCTCAGACCTGAGCTCCAAGACCCGTCAGGCCGAAGTAATTGCCACGAGGAACGCAACCTTGAATGAGAAATATAGCAGGGAGCAGGTGGCCAGAGGTTCAAATGGTGGGCCTGTAAGCCTGGAGAGGACTAAATTGAGGTCCCAGGCAGGGACAGGCTGACACGTGTATGGGAAGAGCCTGTCCAAACCCTTGAAAAAACAACTGACCATAGGGTTTGCAAAGACCGAGAAACCGTCTGAACCCGGGTGGAAGGCGGAGATCGCGGCCAAGTGGACCCTTAATGATGACCAGGACAAGTTCTGGTGCTTTAGGTGAAGGAGGTAGTCCAGTATAAATGGCATGGAGGCGAAGAGCGGCAGCTGACTACGTTGCTCCGCCCAGATGGAGAACCTTTTCCACT